GCTGATGAAACTATCCTCCCGTAATGAAGCAAAAATAGATATTGACAAAGGAAAACCAAAAGTATTTCTCACTAACTGACTTACACTTAGAAAATAGCTACAAGAAGACCTTCTAGTAGAAAATCTATAATAGAATTCTGGAACATTAAGAAGGAGAAAGAACAATGGAAAGAACAGAAATATGGATACCGAGAAACTAGATCACTCATACATTGCTGGCAGGAAGGGAAAATGGTACAGCTGCACTGGAAAGCAGTTTGACAATTTCTTATAAAACTAAGGGTGCAGTTACCATAGGACCCAGAAATTGCAGTCTTGGGCATTCATCCAGAGAAATGAAAACTTGTGTGAAAGAGTGAATTGAAACAAAATTGGAAACTATGAATGAATATTCATATCACCTTTACCGCTAACTGTCAAAAATAGGAAACACAGGTTTTCAACAGATGAACAGAAAATTAAACCCTGGTACATCCACACCACGAAATACTACTCAGCAATAAAAAAGAAGGAACCACTGATACAACAGTGTGAATGAATCTCCAGGGAATTACACTGAGGGAAGAAGCCAGTCTCAAACACCACATGATTCCATGTATATAACAACGCTGAAGGGACGAATAACAGATCTGGAGAAGAGATTCATAGTTATCATGCAATAGGGCAGAGGGTAGGAGTAGGGGGCAAATGTCAATAGGAAGGGGACGGGTGTGGTTATAAAAGAGCAACATGAGAGATCATGGCGGTGATGGGACTGTTTCAGGGCTTGCCTCTGGTAGAAGGTACGTGAACCTGCGCATATGATAAAACTGTAGAGAACTAAATACACACTCATATTAATGCAAGTGAAACTGGGGAGAGCTCCATAATATCTGTGGATGGTATCATGTCACTTGGTTGTGATAATTTTCTATCATTCTGCCAGTTGACACCATTTTACAGTTGTAAATACCATTGGGGAAAAGTGGGTAAGGAGAACACATGATTCTTCTGTAGTATTCATTATAACTGCATGTGCAGCTAAATTTTTCTGAAAATAAAAACTTTAATTAGCAAGAGCTACCACACTAAACAGACTGATGACTCTACATTCACTAGGCTATATGTCAAAGTATCATTTCAGACTCACCAAAACTGGGAGGAATGCAGTGACATAAAGAGGAAATATCTTGGCTACTGTCTTTCCAATAGAAGTGGATAATTTGTTGTCTCAGGGCTCTTTTCTAGGTAGTTTGAGCTTTTAACAACATTTCTAAATATAAAACACTTTCAGCTACTAAAAGATAAGAATTCTCAACCATGAATTCTCTTTTGTCTTAGTTTTTTTGGCCGCTCCACGCGGCATGCAGGCTCTTAATACCCAGAGCAGGGATCGGACCCATGACCCCCTGCAGCGTTAGCGTGGAGTCTTATCCACAGGACCGTCAGAGAAGTCCCTGAACCATGAATTCTATATCGGGCAAAACAATCCTTCAAGAATGAAGCAGTTTTGGGACTTCCCTGGTGGCGCACTGATTAGGAATCCACCTGCCAATGCAGGGGACATGGGTACGAGCCCTGCTCTAGGAAGATGACACATGCCGTGGAGGAACTAAGCCCGTGCACCACAACTACTGAGCCTGCGCTCTAGAGCCCGCGAGACACAACTACTGTGCTCTCGTGCCACAACTACTTAAGCCCAGGCCCCTAGAGCCCGTGTTCCGCAACAAGAAAGGCCACCGCAAGGAGATGCCCGCGCACTGCAACTAGAGAAATCCCGCGCGGAGACAAAAATATATAAATAAATATTTCTTTTTTAAAAAAAGGATAATAGGGAATACTACAATCCACTTTACCCTCATAAATTTGATAAGTTAGAAGAATTGGACCAATTAAAATTAAAATTAAAAAATAATTTTTAAAAATAAAAAGAATGAAGCAGATTTGCAAAAACATGGTTCATTCTGGAGGGCATTCTGCCAATTGAAATAAGCCAGATAGAAAAAGGCAAATACAGCATGGTGTCACTTTTATGTGGAATCTTTAAAAAAATGTCAAACTCAGAAACATCGAGTGGAAAGGTGGCTGCCAGGGGCTGGGAGGTGGGGGAAATAGCCAGGGGCTGGGAAAAGGGTGCAGACTTTCAGTTATAAGTTGAATAAGGTCTGAGTATCTAATGTATAACAGGTGACTATAGTTGATAATACTATATTGTATAATTTGCATATAGAGTAGAACTTAAGCGTTCTCACCACAAAAGAAATACAAAAGTAAACGTGTGAAAGGATTGCATCTGTTAATTAACTCGATGGCAGGAATCCTTTCACAATGTATATGTACATTAAATCATCACATTGTACACTTTAAATATATTACAATTTTATTTGTCAACTATCCCTCAGTAAAGTTGAAAATAATAAAAGAACATCCAAAATATTAAAACAAAAACAATGAAGAGGAAATAAAGACATTCTCACATGAAGAAAGCTAAAAGTGTTTGTCACTAGCTGAGTTACACGTGAGAATGGCTAAAGGAAAATCTTCTACCAGAAAAGAATGATGAAAGTACAAATCTTCGAGCATGAAAAAGGAAGAAAGAACAATGAAAGCAACAGAAATATGGATATGGAGAAACTGGATCACTCACACATTGCTGGCAGCAAAGTAAAATGGTGCAGCCACTCTGGAAAACTGTTCGGCAGTTTCTTACAAAACCAAACATGCAATTACCATACAACCAAGCATTTGCACTCTTGGGCATTTATCTAAGAGAAATCAAAACTTATGTTTACACAAAAACCTGTACAGGAAAGGTCATAGCAATTTTACTTGTAATACCAAAAACTGGAAAAAAAAAAACCAGATGTTCTTCAACTATGAATCAAAACACAAACTGTGGTACATCCACACCACGGAACAGTACTCAGCAAGGAACTACTGATATAATTCAGATGAATCTCCAGGGAATCATGCTGAGGTGGGTGTGGTTACAAAAGGGCAAGATGAGGCATCCTTAAGGTGACGAAAATGTTCTGTATCTTGACTGGATGGTGGATAGCAAACCTACTCATGTGATAAAATCAAATAGAACTAAACACATATACACACAAATCAATACAATTAAACTGGGGAAATCTCAATAAGGTCTATAGATTGTATCAGTGTCAATATCCCGGTTGTGATATTGTTACAGTTTTGCAAGATGTTATTGTTGGGAAAAATAGGTAAAGTATAAACGGGATCACTCTGTATTAATTTCTTAAAACCACATGAGTATCTTAAATTACCACAAAGTTGAAAGTTTAGTTAAAAACGAGCTATCACTGGCTTACATTAAGGATGTTGATGGATCTAGAATAAAAAGTGCTACCTGAGATATGTTATCATTTCAAACTCACCAAAATTGGGTGGAATGGAGAGAGTTGAAGAGGCAGCATCTGGGCCACTGTCATTGCCCACCAAATTTGGGTAATACACTGTCTGAGAGCTGTTTTTCATGCTGGTTTCTGCTTTTCCCGGCATTTCTGTAAGTAAAGCTTTTTCAAGTGCTGAAAGAAGACAACTCTCAATTGTGAATTCTATACTGGATGAGACTATCCTTCAGGAACTAATGAGAAATAAAGACATTCTGACACAAAGGAAAAATGATTTTTTAAATTTTCCCTAGCAGATTTGCCCTTAAAAATAGCTAAAGGAAAATCTTCAAAAAAGAAAGGGTATTATGAAAGAAGGAATCTTGGAGCATCAGGAAAGAAGAAATAACAACGGAAAGATCAGAAATATGGATGGAGAGAAACTGGATCACCCACACATTGCTGCTTGGAATGTAAATGGTACAGCCTCTCTGGAAAACTGTTCAGCAGTTTCTTATAAAACTAATATACTATGGTTCCAGAGGAGATGAGAAAGTTTGGAATTAAAAGCACAAGTGTTCGACATATACATACTACTATATATATAATAGATAACTAATAAGGACCTACTGTAGAACACAGGGAACTCTTCTCAATACTCTGTAATGACCTATATGGGAAAAGAATCTAAAAAAAAAGTGGATATGTATATGTATAACCAATTCACTTTGCTGTACAGCAGAAACTAACAAAACATTGTAAATCAACTATACTCCAATAAAAATTTTTTAAAAAAAGAAAAGAAAGAAAGAAACATGCTATAAGACCTAACAACTGCACTTCTGGCATTCATGACAGAGAAATGAAAATTTATATTTACACAAAAATCAGTACATCAATGTTCACAGCACTTGTAGTATCAAAAAACTTAGAAAAAAAAAACAGATGTCCTTCAATGTGTGAATGGTTTTAAAAAAAAATGTTGCATATATATACCACGGAAAACTCTTCATTAATAGAAAGGAACTATTAAGAAATGAAAACTGATATTTACATAAAAGTGTGCACAGGAATATTTATAGCTGCTTTACTCCTAATAGCCAAAAACTGAAAAAAAAAACCAGATGCCCTTCAACAGGTGAAGAGTTAAAATGTTGTATATCCATAGCATGGAATACTCTTCAGCAAAAATAGTAATAAACTATTGATACATGCCACAAACTGGATGAGTCTCTAGGGAATTAGACTGAGTAAAAAAAACCAATCCCAAAGGTTACACAGTATGTTATTTCACTTATATAACAATGTGAGACAAAACTATAGAAACGGAGAAGAGATCAATGGTAGCCAGGTGTTAGGGATGGGTCTTGGAGGAAGGGAAGGCTGGTGTGTTGTAAAAAAGCAATAACAAGGGATCCTTGAGTGATGGTAATGATCTCTACCTTGACTGTGATGGACTCACTCATGTGATAAAATTGCACAGTGCTAAGTATACAAATGAAAGTGTACACACAAACATACACGTAAAACTGGAGGCACCTCGATAACGTCTGTGGGTTGTATCAATGTCAATATCTGGGTTGTGATACTGTACCACAGTTTAGCAAGGTGTAGTCATTGGGAAAAATAAGTAAAGCATAAATAGGATCTCTCTGTATTATTTTTTACAACTGCATGTGAATCTTAAATTATACCAAAAAGTATTAAAAAGAGCTGCAACTGAAAAAAACAAAACAAAACAGCTGCAACTGGCTTGTATTAAGGATGTGGATAGATCTAGATTAAACAGTGCTACTCCTAATATATATCATTTCAAACTCACCAAAACTGGGCAGGAGGTAATGAGATGAAGAGTCAGTATCTGGGCCACTGATATTTCCCAGTAAAGTTGGGTAATACACCGTCTGAGAGTTGTTTTCCAGGCTGGTTTCTGCTGTTCCTGGAACTTCTACAAGTATGTATTTTTCAACTACTGAAAGAAAAGAACTCACAACCATGAATTCTACGGGAAGTGAAATTATCCTTCAAGTAAAAGGTGAAAAAAAATTCCGAAACAAAGGAAAACTAAAAGAATCTGTCCCTAGCAGTCTTACCCATATGGAAAGGTTAAAGAAAAATCCTCAAACAGAAAGGATACGATGAAAGAAGGAAATCTGGAGCATCAGGAAGAAAGAAAGAGCAATGGGAAGAACGGAAACATGAATGTGAAGAAACTGGACCGTTGCTGGTGAGAATGAAAAATGGTACAGTCTCAGGACTTCCCTGGTGGTCCAGCGGTAAAGAATCCGCCTTCCAATGCAGGGGACGCAGGTTCAATCCCTGGTCGGGGAACTAAGATCCCACATGCCACGGGGCAACTAAGCCCGCGCACCACAACTACTGAGCTCACGTGCCTCAGCGAGAGAGCCTGCGTGCCGCAAACTACAGAGCCCATGCTCCCTGGAGCCTGCATGCCACAACTAAAGAGGGGAAAACCCACGCACCACAACTAGAGAGAAGCCCGCGCACTGCAACGAAGAGCCCGTGCTGCAACGAAAGATCTCGCGTGCCACAACTAAGACCCAATGCAGCCAAAAATAAATTAAATAAATAAATAATAAATCTTTAAAAAAATATAAAGCAAAGGAAAAACCTGAACATGTTTTCAAAAAAACCAAAAAGTAAAAAGAAAAATGGTATATCCTCTCTACTGGCATTTTCTTATAAAACTAAACATGCTAAGACTCAAAAATTGCACTCTTGGCATTCATGACAGAGAAATTAAATCTTACATATATACAAAAACCAATACATGGGTGTTGATAACAGCTTTACTCTTTTTTTTTTTTGGGGGGGGTACGTGGGCCTCTCACCGCTGTGGCCTCTCCCTCTGCGGAGCACAGGCTCCGGACGCGCAGGCCCAGCGGCCATGGCTCACGGGCCCAGCCGCTCCGTGGCACATAGGATCCTCCCGGACCAGGGCACGGACCCGTGTCCCCTGCGTCGGCAGGTGGACTCCCAACCACTGCGCCACCAGGGAAGCCCCGGCTTTACTCTTAATACCAAAAACTAAGGGAAAAAAAAAACTAATGCCCTTCAATGGCTGAATGGTTAAAAACAATTACTGCATATTGAAATCCTATAAAACTACTCAGCAATAAAAAGGAAGGAGGGACTTCCCTGGTGGCACAGTGGTTAAGAATCCGCCTGCCAATGCAGGGGACCCGGGTTCAAACCCTGGTCCGTGAAGATCCCACATGCCATGGAGCAACTAAGCCCATGTGCCACAACTACTGAGCCTGCGCCTGCGCTCTAGAGCCCATGAGCCACAACTGCTGAAGCCCACACACCTAGAGCCTGTGCTCTGCAACAAGAGAAGCCACCGCAATGAGAAGCCCGCGCACCGCAACGAAGAGTAGCCCCCACTCGCCGCAACTAGAGAAAAGCCTGCGCGCAGCAATGAAGACCCAATGCAGCCAAAAATAAATAAATTTTTTTTAAAAAAGGGAAGGAAATTTTGATACATGCAACAACATGGATGAATCCTCAAGGAATTATGCTGAGTGAAAAAAATCCTCAAAGTTTACGTACTGTAAGACTCCCTTTATATAACCCTCTTGAAGTGACAAAATTACAGAGACCAGTGTTTGCCAGGGGCTAGGGAACAAGCAGTGGGGAAGGAAAGGGCAACCTGAGAGAGGTGGGTGTGGCTATAAAAGGGCAAGAAGAGGCATCCTTATGGTGATGGAAATGTTTCTGTATCTTGACCGCGTTGGTGGATATCACACCTACTCATGTGATGAAATCAGACAGAAATAAATATAAACACACACAAATTACTACAAGTAAAACTGGGGACATCTCAGTAACATCTGTGTATTATATCAATGTCAATACCCCAGGTGTGATATTTTACTAATTTTGCAAGATGTAATCATTGAGAGAAAAGGGTGAAGTGTAAAAGTGATCTTTTTATATTATTTCTTACAAATATATGTGAATCTAAAATTATTTCAAAATAAAAAGTTTAATTTAAAAAATGGGTTACCATTAACTTGCATTAAGGATGTTGATACATCTAGATTAAACAGTGCTACTTGTAGTATGCATTATTTGAAACTCAGCAAAATTGGGTGGGAGGTTGACAGGTAAAGAAGAACACTGGCCACTGTCATTTCTCAATAAAGTTGGGTAACTCATTGTCTCAGGGTTGTTCTCCAGGCTGGTTTCTGCTATTTCTGGCATAGCTACAGTAAAAACATTTTTCAAGTGCTTAAGAAAATAACTCTCAGTCATTAATTCTATACATAGTGAAACTATCCTTCATTAATGTATGGGAAATAAATACATTCTCACATGAAGGAAAACTAAAAGAACTTGTCTCTTGCAGACTTACCCTTAAAGGAAGGCTAAAGGAAAATCTTCAAACAGAAAGAATATGATAAAAGAATGGATCTTTGAGCATCAAGAAGAACAATGGAAAGAGAAGAAATATGCACGCAGAAAAATTATATCACGTATATTATGGGTGGAAGGTAAAATTATACAGCTCCTCTGAAAAATAATTTTAGCAGTTTCTTATAAAACTAAACATGGAATTACATATGACCCAGAATTGCCCTCTTGGGCATTCATCTCAAAGAAATGTAGACTTATGTTTACACAAAAACTGGTAAAGGACTGTTCATAGAGCTAAACTTGTAATAGCCAAAAACTGGAAATTTCCCAAACGTCCTTCTATGGGCAAACAGATAAACAGTTATACACCCATATCATGGAACAGTACTCAACAATAAAAAGGAAGGAGCTCTTGATACAAGCAACAACTGGTATAAATCTCCAGGAAATTATGTTCAGTTAAACAAACAGCCATGCCCAAAAGGTTCTATAGTATTTTATTCCATTTAAATAACAATATTCAAATGACAAAATTATAGAAACGGAAGTCAGTTCAGGGCTTGCAGGGGTTAGGACGGGGCAGGGTGGGAGGAAAGGGTGACCAGAGGGAGGTGATTGTGGTTAATAAAAGGGCAATATGAAGGGTGTTTGTGGTAATGATGGAAATGTTCTGTATCACGACTGTGATGGTGGGCAAATACACTGAGGCATGGAATAAAATTGCATAGAACTAAACACACACACACAAATGTGGATTTAATCAATGTCAGTATCCTGGTTGTGATACTTTACTATAGTTTTGCAAGATGGTATTATTAAGGAAAATGGGTAAAGCACAAATAGGAACTCTGTATAATTTCTTACAACTACACGTGAATCTAAAATTACCTCAAAATGAAAAGCTTAATTTAAAAAAGAGCTACCACCGACTTGCATTAAGGATGTTAGTGAATCTGAATTAAACAATGCTATTTGTAATATGTATCATTTCAAACTCACCAAAATTGGGAGGGATGAAGATAGATGAAGAGGCACTATCCCGGCCACTGTCATTTCCCAAAAAAGTTGGATAGTACCTTGACTCAGTGCTGTTTCCAAGGCTGGTTTCTGCCTTTCCTGACACTTCTACAAATAAAAAGTTTTCAAGGGCTGTAATACAAGAACTCTCATCCAGGAATTCCATACTGGGTGAAACTATCCTTCAGAAAGAAGGGGAAATGAAGACATTCTCACACAAAGGAACTACCAAATGTAAAATAGATAGCTAGTGAGAAGCAGCCGCATAGCGCAGGGAGATCAGCTCGGTACTTTGTGTCCACCTAGAGGGGTGGGATAGGGAGGGTGGGAGGGAGACGCAAGAGGGAGGAGATATGGGGATATATGCATATGCTGATTCACTTTGTTATAAAGCATAAACTAACACACCATTGTAAAGCAATTATACTCCAATAAAGATATTTAAAAAAAAAAAGATTTTTGCCCCCAGCAGATTTACTCTTAAAAAAGAAAATCTTCTACCAGATAGGATATGATGAAAGAAGCAATCAGGAAGCATCAGCAGGAAGAAAGAACAATGGAAAGAGCAGAAATATGGCTCCAGAGAAACTGGATCACTCATACATTGCTGGCAGGAATGCAAAATGGTACACCTACACTGGAGAACAGGTAGTTTCTCATAAAGCTAAACACACAGTTAACATATAACCAGCAACTGCACTCTTGGGTATTCATGTCAGAGAAATGAAAACTTCTGTTTACACAAAAACCTGTACATGAATATTCATAGCAGCCTTAGTCCTAATAGTGAAAAACTAGAAAACAAAACCCCAAATTTTCTTCAGCAGATGAATGCTTAAACTATGACACATCTATACCAAGTAACAGTACTCAGCAATAAAAAGGAAGGAACTAGTGAACAACTTGCTTTAATCTCTAGGGACTTATATTTAGTGAAAAAAGCCAATATCAAAATGTTACATACCATATGCCTACAAATATATAACAATTTTGAAGTGACAAAGTTCTAGAGATGGAGAATAGATCAGTAGTTGCCTGAGTACTGAGGGGATAAGGGAATAGGGAGAGTTAGGGATAGGGGAATAGGGAGGGCAGGGTCACTAGAGGGTGATGGGTGGTTATAAAAAGGCAACACAAGTGATCCTTGTGATGGAAATATTCTGTACCTTGACTATGGTGGTGGACATACAAACTTTATCATATGGTAAAACTGCACAGAACTAAAAGTACACACACGCAAATGAATACAAGTCAAACTGGGAACAGCTGAATAAGATCCATGGATTATATCAACGTCAATATCCTGGTTGTGATATTTTACTATAGTTTTACAGGATGCTACCACTGAGGGAAATTGGGTAAAGGGTATCACTCTGTATTATTTCTTACAACTACATGTGAATCTATAATTATCTCAATATAAAACTTCTAATTAAAAAATAGCTATCACTAGTTTGCATTAAGGATGCCTTTGAATATAGATTACTGGATGCTATTTGTAATGTGTGCCGTTTCAAACTCACCAGTAATGGGAGGCATGCAGAGAAATGTCAAGGCAGCATCTGGGCCCATGCTGTTATTTCCCATTATAGTTGAGTAGTTCACTGTCTCAGAGGTATCTGCCAGACTGGGTTCTCCTTGTGGCAGAACTGCTATAGGCACTGCTACAGTAGCCTGGGCAGATGAGATAACACTGTTGGTACTTTCGGCACCTTCACTGACATAGGAGGATAGAACAGGAAGCCCAGGAGATGGGCTGCGTGGTGTGAAACATGGCTCTAATGAGTATGTGGAGACAATTCTGGGCGGTGGTGGACTCTCCCTGAGGACCGGCTGCTGCAGTTCAGGGAGTGCTGCTGACTGAAGAGATGTTCCTACAGGGTTGGTCTCGGCATTGTCTTCCTGCCTTTCCACGGGTAAAGATGGGCTACAATCTCCCTGTCCAGGGTAAAAGAACAGAATGGGTTAAGCTCCTTTCTGTAATTTCTCCATGAAGTATACAATCAAAACTTTTCTGTGTAAATCCAGATGACCTCTAAAATGACACGAATTCAGTATAAATCTTCTGTGAGTAAAAATAAGAATTGAAAAATCAGTAAAAGCATTAATACCTGTTTTCCTTGCAACATCATTTTCCATAGTCAAGTATAAATGCTGAATTTTGATTATATGATTTTTAATCCTCTTCAACCCTACATTTTGATTGCATTTTATACATTATGGTTACAAACATAAAAATATTCAGTATCATGTCTCAAACCTAGACTTCAGCATTCTTCCAAGAGAGGTTATTCTCCAACCTACTGCTAAAGTAAGTATAGATCAGCCTTGCTAATCTCAGAGTTATTCGTTCTCTCTCACTTCTAACTGATTGGTATCTCTAGGAACTAGAGCTTTATGGAAGTAGTTAGGCACAGTTAGGCAACAATGGTTTCTCCAAAGAATGCTGCATTTGTGAAACGACTCCACAAAGGTGGTTAACCTGCCTCTTCGTGTTTTCAATAAGTTCTTGCAAACCCTGTCATAATAAAAAAAATTTTAGTAGTTCCTATTTTGAAACAAAAGTAACATATAAGAAAATATCATTAAGCCAAAGTCAAAGTCTGAAAGTTTTCAAGCCGTCAGAAATC